TTTTTTTTTTTTTTTTTTTTGAGAAGGATCTTTTAGTAGGAATATTTTACTTCTTATAGAATCGAATGTATTTGTCAAGAGCTACAATATTATGGAACAGCAGATAAAACGAATATAACTCCTTTCTGAGGACCCATTTGTGCATCAAATATTATTTCAGCATTTGCAATTCCTAGCAAAATATTAAAATACTAGCTTGAAATACTTCAGGTTTGTGTTTATTTGTGACTCCATTGAAAAGTTGCCTCACAAATCTAAATCATGCTGTTCAAAAAATTAATGCTGTTAAAAAACGAACAACACCGATAATTCGAACCGAAAAAAGTGTTATTGATTTAATTTATTGATATTGAATTATTGATGTTTGAAAACAAATTCAAATTATACAACTGACGGTTTATCGTTTCGTGTACATGTTTGTCCATTTCTTTATCGATTTAACGGATAACCCAATATAATTTATTTAGTTTATATATTTTACTCTTGACTATATACAGGTCATATTTATATAGGGCTTTAGGAATGCAGCTTCACTTTGTTTGCCCCAGCTGTTGCCCCCAGAGGCCAAAACAAGAGAACAATCAAATACTTGGGATCGGAAAACACAGGCGTCATGCGAAAATTGACATACCAAATTTCGAACGACAATAATTGAGACAATAAAGAAAAATATACCAAAAGACATATTATAATTTAAGATGGTTTGATCAATTGACCTATATATGAACGATCCAAAATTCAACTAGTCGTGATGACACCTAACCCAACCCGCTAGGTAAGCCCAATAAGTATCTTGACTAACTTCGGTGAAGTTGTGACAAGGCTTTTTAGTTAAAAGATACTCACTGACATAACCCGTGCAATAGATTTGCAACAGAAACAATACTTTAATAACAAAGAAAAGTACAAGAACAATTATGCGAAGCAGTAAATGATTACTAGAAGAAATCATGGTCAGTTTTCTCAATATCATAACCAATCCTTTTCGTAAAGCGATAACCATCAACCAAAGTTAGTAAATCCACGAACTTTCATAGCATGAGGAATGTATTCAAGACATCAAATCAAAGGATACGGCAACACCCTTCCTACATTTATCTCATCCTCACAAAGTATATGAGTGTATGTCAAATCAAATGGCACGACAACACCCTTCGTGTATTTATCTTATCCTTATCAAGTATATGTATAACGGTACCAACCAGGCTAAAGAAATGCCAACAATAGTAACTATGAAGTAGAGAGTACACAAATAGCAGCAATAAACAAGTCGGAAGCATATGAAAAATAGTAACAGACAAGATAGGAGGCACAGAAGTAGTGACAACAAGTAAGGTAGAAGAACATAGATTTCAACAACTAATGAGGTAGAAGATTTAGGTGAAATCACACCAAACGAGAAAAAGACATAGATGTACATATAACAAATAAGAAGGTATACATGAACGCAACGATAAGTAACAAATAGAAAGCACTGATAGAACTATATAAAATAAGAAATAAGGCAAAGATGTGACAACCACAAGCATCATAATAAATATAGGTTCAACAATAACGACTCAAGATGAAGACATAAACGTATACACGATAAAAAGATATCGCAATATAATTCATGTCTCTCGTCCTTGCCTGCATGAGAACATCCTTCGTGCCATGAACACATGATAATATAAAAATAATGGCACAACATCACCCTTCATGTTTTTACTCTCGTCCTCACGTAATAATATAAATGCAATGCTATGGCATCACCCTTCGTTCTTTTACTCTCGTCCTCACATAATAATATAGATGAAATGGCACGACATTATCCTCCATACATAATAATGCATATGAAATGGCACTGCATCATCTTTCGTGCTTTACACTCTTCCTCACATGATAATGTAAATGAAATGGCATGACATCACCCTTCGTGATTTACACTCTTCCTCACCAAGTAGATGTATATCAATGACAAGCAAGGTAGGAAGCATGAATAACATCAAGAAGATGGGGCAAGTAAATACACCACGTGAACATCAATCACAACTCTCGAACCAATAAACAACTCAATAAACCTCAAGAATCCTATTGTTCAAGTATTTCGACAGAAGCTCAGACATGCTTTTCATCATAAGTATGGGACCCAAGTACCTCAGAATTTCGGTCATAGACATATGTTCGTGATTAGGTATAGTGATGACCGAATTTAGCATATTAACAGTTTCACAAAGAGTCCGTCAACTTTTATCAAGTTATAATAAGCTAAATTATGGTGTCTAGCATTGAAATTAATATTCATATTATTATAAAAGTCAAGTAAAATATGAGGCAATAAAAACACATTGTAAGGCCCTGGAAAATTTCTCTAATGATTTAATATTTTAAAGTACGCCAACGGTATTTGGGAATAGCGTGTTATAGTATTATAGGAGACCC